TAAGTAATTAAGTCATTTAAGTGTAGGTAATTTGAAGCTACACTAGCTATAACTTAATTCAGTCAAAGCAACAAGATCCATGTTTACAGTGCTGTCATGTACAAGCTTCAGGCAACTGAAGCACAAATGGAAAGAGAAACCACTGAAACAGGTGACGCAAGGGAAGGTAAACACGTCCATCCTTCTTCTTCTGCTTATCCAGAGCCTGGATGTGATTGCAGCATCCTGAGAAGAGAACCCCAGACCTCCATCTTCTCTAGCCACCTCCTCTATCCAGGGGAGTGCAAGGAAGAGGACTCTTTTACTGGTATTACTGGTATTATAAATTGTACAGCACTTTGGGTGCACCTTTGCACTTTATTAAAAGCATTTTACTTGCACTTTATTTAGCACTGCACTTTAAGAATAGATTTGCACATCAATAACTATTTGCACACAAGAGGTTTAATTATTTATTGAGTATTTTAATAATTAGAAGGTAGGCACAGCTGCTCCTCATCAGGAAGTGTGGTGGTTGTCTGTGAGGAGGAAACAACTGTTACTGGGAGAAAATGAGGTCTACTATTAAGGAAAACCTAATAGGCAAATGTGTGTGCAAAGTCTAGAGGTAAAGGTGATGCAAAGAAGTTGCTGTTGAAATGTGATTACTCACCTGTCTTTCCTGTGTCCTCTCCAGGGTGTCTGGGCAAATGTTTCCCCGGGGGTCTGGACACCATTTAAAGGTTCCAGCAGAGGCTGTGGGTTAAGGGAGTGTGGGGAATCTCTGTTCATGGGCTTTTGGTGTTTTTGTAATGATTTTAAGGTGTAAGGGTAAAGTGTAAAAATGTTTAATCATATGAAAATGGTAAAATGTATGTCTATATTTATTTATTAAAATGATTTATTGTTGGTGGAAGGTTGGAAGTTGGAAAACTCACCAGGAAAATAAAAGCTTTAGTCCTTAACAGCTGAGAGTATTTCAGGCTGCCAGTCGTCATTAGCAGAGGGATTGTTTGTGCTGTGAGAGGGCTGATTGTCATGGCCTCAGAGCTATATAGGCAAATAAATGCATCTTGCTTCCACCATCTTGGTCTTCCTCACTGTAAATCCAGCCACAAAAGGCCACCCTGCTACGAGTGGTGTCAGAAGTTACAGGGAGGCATTCCCTAGGTAGCTAAGAGATATATCTCTGGCGTGTCCTGGGTCTGCACCCAGAACATCTCACCCAGATGGTCCCCAGGAAGCATCCTTGTCAGATGCCCAAAGCACCTCAACTGCCTTCTTTCAATGTAGAGTAGCGGTGCCTCTGGATGGCTGAGCTCCTCACCCTATCTCTGAGGGAGAAGCCAGCCACCCTTCGGGTAAAGCTCATTTCCAGCACTTGTATCTGCAATCTCATTCAAAAGAGCTGTGATCGAACGATAGGTGAGCTTTTACGCTGAGCTCTCTTTACTGTAGGCCACCACTTGATGTCAGAGCGTGTGTCTGAATGTTATGTAAGAATGCTTGGATGTAGATGAAATCACCTTATGAAAGTGTGTGTGACTGGATGGAGAGAGTGCTCAAATTGAGTAGAAAGGCTCTACATACGTACCGGTCCATTTACCATATATTTGGTGTGTGTAGCAGTAATATGAGGAAGCCAGGCGACACACACACACACACACTCATAGGCAGAGGGGACAGAGACTGCTCGTTTAACTAAAACAGATAGCTCAGCTGAAAATCAAAGTCAGCAGTTTGGCAGCATTTTGCTTCTGTATAATGCAGAAATTCTCTTTCTGAAAATAATGTTGGTGTTGCTGACAATGCAACAGTTCTGCTATATTTTCTCCTGCAATAGGCAGTAAAGAAAAACTCCTCTTTGTGGGTGAAGCAGACATCCTCAACTTTCAGATCTCAGCTCAGTGACCAGACAGCTTTTCATAGTGAAGGATTTTTCTATGGCTTACACTTTAAACTTGCTCTTTCACTGATCACTGTGCCTGCAGAAACACTGACTGGCTGTGTCTCTGTCATTGTCAGAACTCTACATTTGAACAGAACTGTACGATTTCATAATGTTTATCAATGTCAAACCTAAATGGATAACAGCTGTTATTCAGCCCATAGAAACGACACAGAGTGGTCTCCTGCTGCAGGCGAGAACAGACTTTATCCAACACTGACATCTTGTGGAATACTTCAAACATATATGTGTGTGATGATTTCAAATCACAAAAGTTATTATGATTTGTTATGATTACTTTTATTCATGGAATGTGTGTATGTGGAAATATGTCTGTATACGACATTAAATAGGTCAATTGTATTTGAACGGGCGCCATCATGTGCGTATGAAAACAAAGGCACTGCGCATGCGCGTTTTACCCATATTCTATCGCCATATTTCACGGTATTACCATGAACAGTATGGTAATACCAGCCCTACTCCCACCCTCCCCTCTTTAAGTTTTTATGTTTGTGAACCAGGCTCAGCGGGCCCAACACGTTAAAGTCAACTCCAGAAATTCCATAAATTGCAAAGAAAAACGTATATTTCCTAGTTCATGCCTAGATAATACAGACAAGAAAAGAAAGACACCACAACTGAGGATAGTCAAGAAAAATGGGTGAAGAAACCACCTAGCTTACAATACAAGAAATGAAGGTCATTAGGGAAGTGACAGCCAAAACATCCCTATATTACCGTCTGACAGGGGAGGTGCACTGTTGTTCTAAAGACAACGGATTATCACACACAAATTCCTACACTCCTCAGTGACAGCAATGCCAACGAAGCCCTAAAATGGGACCCCACAAGCAACAACAAAAAGAAAGTTATCAGTTGACCGCCTTTCATATCCCATCAGTACCCAGGGGATGCTATACCCTCTAGTTACGGACTTCCAAACATTCACAAAGAAGGAATCCCACTCAGACCCATTGTCAGCTGTATAAACTCTGCCACCTACAACATTTCCAATCACCTTGCCATCATCCTTGCTCCCCTTGTGGGTAACACCCTGCATCACATCAAAAGAAACATAACTTTCACCAGCGAAGATACAAAGGATAATAGTTTGCTATTTCTGGACTGTGCTGTGCACATTGAGGAGAATGGAAACCTGAATATATACCACATACAAATACCGGTACCTCCTCTTTGACTCCCACCACCCTCTGGAGCATAAACTTTCAGGACCCTGTAACACCAGGCAGAAAATGTTCCCCCCCAAAGGAAGAAGGGAAAGAAAAGGAACACGCATGTAAAGAAATGTCTTTAAACATGTGGTTATCACGATTGGGCTTTCATCAAATCAGCAAAGATGCACAGAAAAGGTCAGACATCAACTAAGGAGAATCAGAAGGACAACCGGAATAATATTGTCATCCTTTATGTAGCAGGTATATCAGAGGAACTCAGGAAAGTCTTCTCCAAAGATGACACCCCAGTGTACTTCAGACCCAGCCATACAAAAGTAACTATTACATTGCTTTAAAAAAAAAACCCCTCTGGGGTCCAGGGTACAATTGGCCATTTTTAACTACTTCTGATGTTTCCTCCACATTTCACCTTTAAAAACTATTTATTTGCCTTGTTTGGTCTCATCAGCACAACCTCACATGTCTGAATTTACAGTCATGTTTTCATTTTGACAAACTGTGTTAACACAACTGATCTAAAATCAGACAAAAAACATAAAATCCGAGTAGAAAAAGTTTTATTTTTTACTGTAACAACCACAAAGATGTTTAATGAATCATATTTTATAACTTTACATGTAAATATAAATGGTCAATTTTAAAATCCTGTGCACAAGTTTTGCAAACAGCAAAGATATTTGCAGCCATTTACCTTTTACCTTGATTTTTTAAAATAAACTATTTACAGAACAATCAGCTGTTCTTCAATAAGATGCCACACAAGTTATTTGTGCCACTCCAAATATTTCTGTCCACTATAAAGGAAACATCACAGCCTGATACCTGCAGGAGTGACAGCAGCAGGTGTGTCACTGCTGTTTCTACCTGGAGACAGCAGTCGCCTCATTGTTCTGACACACAACACAAAACTATCGACAACACACTAACTACACAAGACAACACATTAACTACACACTCCAAACACGCTAAACGTCACAAATCTCTCACATCTCAAAACTCTCTCTCTCTCTTCCTAAACAACCAAACGTCATGTTGCCATATGATTTTTGATTGGTCGACATGGTGCATTTTTTCACGAGCGGGCAGGGATTTTTTTGTTTTTTTGTTGTTGTTTTGCTCATAAGCAGAGAGCGCTCGCTGCGCTTCCTTAGACGTTAAACGTGACGAAACTATCCAGGAAAAAACACGCGTACATATTGTTTATCATGACTCTGGTTTTACTGGCCCATCAACACAGTTTAAAACCTGGTATATATCACATTGTTGCTTTGTCATCTTGAAGTGCTCATGTGATCGGCTTACCACGACTACTTTATTCTTCGTCAGTCAAGCAGCATCACTCATGTGATTGTTTTGCCCCCTAGCTCGAGGTGTTGTGCCAAAGCGTTAGTAACGTTATTCCCATCACTGGTGGCCACAGACCTGACATACCATGTACACCGCCTCCTTGTGGCAACAGAGCTCAGTGCAGGCAAACGGGCCATCCCATAAAAACCACTTTATGCAGCATTTTTGACAGCTTTCTTTCCAAGCTTTAAATAGACCAGACTTTATTAATGTGGGAGCTCTTTTCCAGTCTTACTGACAAAAGCACTTTCCTTTTTCCTTTTTACACAGTCAGTTGACTTGAAGATTACAAAAAAACAATATTGTGGAAATGATGTATATGTTGATAACAATTAACATATATAATAAGAGTGGCACAGATAAATGATAAAGAGAGACAATGCACAATAGGTTACAAAGAAGTTTAGAAGCAGTCCTCCATACAGCCGTTTCTTGCTATTTGTCACAAAATTTCATTCCACACCTTAGCGACGGGCTATGCTAGGCCCCGCCCACGGGTCAGTGGGCACTAAAGCCACAGCGTCGAGTGGAAGCTGCTGGCCAATAGAAGGACTTCTGCAGTTGGAAACGGGCTACAAAGTTGCGTCGCTGTGCGCACAACCACGCAGAGACGATGGAAAACAAGCAAAGCCAGGTAATTCTGGAATATCCTTTTCCTCTCAAGTTTTTCTTTTTTTTTTCTGTTTGTTTGATTTTAGACTTTTTAAATATGTCGTTTAGCTAGGAAATAAGTGGAAGCAGGCACGTGAAAAGGAAAAAAAGTTTTGTCATCTAAGCAGAAATGAAGGCGCAAGTCTTTTTTGGTTAAAATAAAAAGTCGCTGGCAGAGTTGGCTACAGCGCTTGAAGCGTTTTCCTGTGCTTTACGCGATTCGTTTAGCTTGTGTTTCCAGCGGTGACGCTCTGCTGTTTTCCCCGATGAGGGCCCACCTGCAGCTAATTATAGAAATAAAGCCTCAGTCAGTGTTTTGTTCAGCTGTAGTGAAAACTACCAACATTCTTTCCCTTTTTTTTCTTCAAGTACTGGCTGGGAATGCCAAACTTGTGCCTGATTTTGGTTCATGGTTTTCCATTCCAATAGAAATGAACAAAAATGTATCAAAGTGGGCACAGTATCTATATAGTTCAATTTCATTGTCTTTAAACATATTAAATGCCAACATATGGTTTAAATAAACAATTGAGTTTGGCGCAAGTAAATCAACAATACATTTATCAAAGAAAAAGACAGGTTTGACATTGATGTTTGCAAGTCATCAAGCAGCATTTTCTGTTCACCTGTAGAGCCCACTATTCACATCACTTGTTTCATTCGTTGGGTTTTGCGTAAATGGCTCTACACTACAGTTATTATTACTGTATTTGTCATAAAGAAATGACAAGTCACCCATGCAAATATGATACATTTGCTTTCCCAGCGTTTCAGACCATTTCAATTTAGTGTATAAAGGTCAACGTGCACACTTGCTGGGCAGGCACAGAGGACTGCAGATAGCTGGCGTAAAAAGAGAGTTAAGGTAGAAAAAGTCTGGCATGTGCTAGCAAAGAGCATATCAAACACACAATACTAAAACAAGACCAGACATGTCTGACAGCAAGAGCTTGTGTCAGCCTCAGGTGATCATTTATTAAAAACACTGACTCAACTAAGCGTGGCTGGAGCACTCCAGATGATCCTCATGTTGTCATCTCAAACACACCAGAGGAGCAGATGAGCATCATCAGCCTATTGTTAAAATTGTTTGTTTGCAAGATGCTGCCAATGGGAAAAAGGTTATTTTAAAGTGAGCCAAACAGCTTATTTCAGACACAGAATGAACTCGAGAGCTGCTATAATAACTCTTGGGATCTGAGAGAATAACGTCCCTTTATTTATTATTTTTTTCAAAGAATGCAAGTCTATAAATTAGATGGAACAAACCAAGAATCACCTCATAAATAAGAATATACCAGTGGTTGAATCTACAACATGACAAAGAAGACCAGTTACCCACACATGTGATGTAGAGTGGTGAGTAAGAGCTTTAAAACTCTTCTAAATAATAAATCTTAGTGCTCCATGATGGACAGAATCCAGCCTGTAGGCATTCTGAGCATGCGTGCATATAAATCACATCATTGTTATTAAGTACAGACATGAAAAAAGGGAGAACGAGTGTTATTCTTGCCTCACAGGACAAACAGGACTTTATTCTAAAGTTGCCTGAACTGTACATAAAAGGTTTAGTTTTCCTTTGAGAAGATCGTCAGTTTGATGTTGTCAATATTCAAAACGCGTTTCTGCACAGGTTATGCTGTAGTGTAGTGAAAGCTGAAATAGAGCCTGGCTATGAGTAGGTACAAAGTAGTACATCAGCATATCACCAGCATAAAATGAGAATGTGCTGTAGCGATATTATTACTACTATTGTTTTATATATAAAATGAATAACAGTGATCCAAGAACAGAACCCTGGATAACTCCTGTTGTGACATAAACCAAGCTAGAACAAAGTCCTTCTACCCATACACCCCGACCTGCCTCTCAGACCTGCCTGAGAGAGACGTTTAGAACCATTCAGCTGTCTTTAAGACTTTTTATGATCAACTGTATCAAATGTCAAGGCTGCACAGCATTGTTTTCAACTGAATTTATGAAATCATTTATTGCTTTTAAGGCTGCTTTAGTTGTACATTAATTTGCCCTGAAGCATCACTGAAAGTCACCTAAAGTCTCATTTACAGTCAGGAAGTCTTTCAGCTGTTCACTAGTTTCCACAACTTTAACAGGAGTAGAGCAGATTTTCATATGGTTAGAATTAAATTGGTATTCAAAAGATTAGAAAAGTAACTGCTGGTGCAATTAAAATCAGCAGCCAGCTTTTAAAGGAGGGGCTCCAAACTGTCTGGGTCTGCTGGTTTTCTAGCATTTGAAAGTGAGGCCTTGCTGCTGGTATAATAATCAGTGTGATTGGTCAGATGCTGCCAACAATACCTCATTCATGTGAACACACTCAAACCTATATCAGGGAAACTTGGCAAATGGATGAGCAGCTTTATGTGACTGCATATCATAAATCGAAAAAACAAAGTATTTTGGACTCACTTGGTAGTACACATGAAGATGATGGACTTGTGCTGGTTCTATTTTGTTTCCACATCAGGTGCTGAACCTTGAACGGGTGCAGGCCCTGGAAATCTGGTTGAAAGCAACCAACACAACGCTGACTCAAGTTAATGGCCAGAGGAAATATGGAGGACCACCTGAGGGTGAGAGAATCTGCGTCTCCATATTTCTTTGCCTAATTTAATATAATAGAATTTGTTCTCGAATCTTCACCGCAGTAGTACCAACACTGCCTGTTCTCTTGAGCATTAAGAAATATTGAGTTTTTGGCTCAGATTTTCAACATTTCACCACTGCCACCAAGTGCCAATAATGATATAGATTTCTCAAAGGTAAAAATGAATCAGCTGCTTTTGTTTGTAAAATGCAGCTGTGAAAAGACTCGGTTGATATATAAAAAAAATCTCTAAAAGCTAAATGTGGAAATACTTGATGGCCACGGACTTAAAAGTCAGTTTGATCTTATTTCCAGCTGAAACAAGAAAAGCCCGGCTTGCTCACATGTCACTCTATTGCAAAGACACGGACTTGCTTTGTAAAGTGCACTAAGGATTTGTTGTACATTTTGCATTGCATGAGCTTGAATTTTAAAATTGCATAATCAGCCATACCATTTCCTCTGTTTCATGGTCAGTGTGGGAAGGTGCCACGCCAGGACCGCGCTGTGAAGTCTTCATCAGCCAGATCCCACGGGACGCGTACGAGGACATCCTGATTCCCCTGTTCAGCTCCATTGGACCACTCTGGGAGTTCCGGCTGATGATGAACTTCAGTGGGCAGAACCGCGGCTTTGCGTATGCCAAATATGGCTCAGCTGCTGTAGTTGCTGAAGCCATACGGCAGCTGCACGGTCACATGTTGGAGCCTGGCTACCGCATCAGTGTACGGCGGAGCACAGAGAAGCGACACCTTTGTATTGGAGGTTTGCCTGCGTCCACTAGGCAAGAAGACATACTGCAGGTATAGCTGAACTGTGGAGTGTTTTGAGTGTGTTGACGAGGGAAAGGGGTGAAATTCATTCTGTGTCACCCAGTAAGAAATGGCACACATCATCTATCACCCACATCTCTATGCACCAATACATTAGTGAATGAGCAGGAGGTTGTCAGTGTTTCCAAGTTAAAGGCAGTGCTAGTTAACCCATAACAGCTGGTACTTCTGTGTTCGTGTCTTAAGTCACTCAAAGTCCACTCTGATGCAGGGTTGGTTAGTGTGTATGCCTCTCGACTGGATTGGATCTTTTTTTTTTATCCAACAGATGCTTGGTTAGATTGATATCAGAAGAATTTGGAGGCCAGGTCAATGCCTCAAACTCAGTGTTGTGCTCCTCAAACCATTCCTGAACCATTTTTGCATTGTGACACGGCACCATCAGGGAAAGCTGTACATGGTCTGCAACAATGTTTGGTGGTACATGTCAAAGTAACATCCACATGGGTGCCAGGACCCAAGGATTCTCAACAAACACTGGCCAAACTATTACACTGCCTCAGACTGGCTTGCCTTCTTCTCATAATATATCCTAGCCAGGTGTTTCCCATGTTCACAACTTGCACACACACCCAGCCATCCAGGTGGGGAGGTAAATGGTAAATGGCCTGCATTTGTATAGCGCTTTTCTAGTCCCTAAGGACCCCAAAGCGCTTCACACTACATTCAGTCATTCACCCATTCACACACACATTCACACACTGGCGATGGCAAGCTACATTGTAGCCACAGCTGCCCTGGGGCGCACTGACAGAGGCGAGGCTGCCGGACACTAGCGCCACCGGGCCCTCTGACCACCACCAGTAGGCAAACACGGGGTTAGTATCTTGCCCAAGGATATTTGGCATGCAGCCAGGAGGCAGCCTGGGATCGAACCACCGACCTTCTGATTAGTGGCTGACCTGCTCTGCCACCTGAGCTACAGTCACCGGTGGGGTGGGGTAATTGAAGAAAAGCAAATCAACTATGAAGATTGACCAGTTTCCCCTGTGTATGATAAGAGTTTGATGGGCAAAATAGTTTTTCCAACAGCAAGGTGATTTCCAAAGACTTGTCAGCTACCCATGGAATACCTGGACATGATGTGCAGTGTGTGCATGCAAGGAAACGAGTGCAAAACAAAAGAAGGCCAAAAAAAACCTCTCTGCAGTACATGTACTGTATTTGAAAGGGTTATAGATGATATACCGTATTTTCTGCACTATAAGGCGCACTTAAAATCCTTTAATTTTCTCAAAAATCGACAGTGCGCCTTATGTCTGAATTCTGGTTCTGCTTACTGACCTCAAACCGATTTTATGTGCTACACGGCGCTCAAAAACCTGTCAAAACTTGTTTTAGCACGACTTTGGTTGCTACGAAGCCGCACCGCTTGATGGATTGTTGGAGCATTACAGCTACTGTAGGCAGGAGCCTCGCAGAGTAATCTGGGTCCTAAACTCCATCAGGTTCAGGTCCAAAGTCAAACGAACACTGCAGCATCACTGAGAGTTAAAAATTGTCGAAATTCTTTCATCTGTAATAAAATGATCAGTGTTGCTGCTTTACCAGGTGTAACAATTAAGTTTAACATCCAGGCATCCATGAAAACAGAATTTATTACATTTAATGGAGTTAGAAGTTAGCAGGGAGTTAGCTCGCTAGCTTCCACCTAAACATGAAAATACAGTAGGTGTTTATAGATGTCTGGCCCTTCAGTCACATCTGGTATTGAGGTTGTCATTTAACTGCTGTGTGGATGAATGTTGTCTTCTGAGTGACCATGCTTTGCTTCTAGGTGCTGCGTGTGCTGGTAGAGGGTGTGGAGAGAGTTTCCCTGAAGGCTGGACCTGGTATCGAGGGGGTATCTGCTACTGTTGCGTTCTCATCTCACCATGCAGCTTCTATGGCTAAGAAAGTGCTGGTGGAAGGTATGGGAGCTCTTGTTCATATAGATGAGTGACTTAATATTGATCATGGTCCCATTTCTATGCCAGCCTGGGTGTCACTTGGTTACAAACCAGTTTCTGGTTGTGCACTGTTACTCCACTCTCATAATCACTTGGTATGGAGAGCAGAAAACTAGGTCTTAAGTCAGAAGTCATTTTATTCACAAGTCAGTTCAGTTTTCAATTAAAATACAAATTGTAGCATGAAAATAAGTAAAATGGTTATTTGTGAAGTGGAGCTCCCCAAAAGCTAATCAGCTGGCAAACACTAGAAAATGTCCTACAAATGCATAATTCTCACATTGCAAGAATAATGGCATTAAAAGTAACAGTGTTCGTAATGTAATTACTATTTTTATCGTTACGACGCCGTTACCGTTACTAACAAGAGAATGCGATGCGGACACGTTATGATTTTTCAGCAGACAGATGGTTGAAGCTGTCTTCAGCCTACTTGGAGCTGGGGGGAGAAACAATCACACAAGTTCTGCTGATTGGCTGAGGAAGAATAACGTAGTCATGGTAAACGAATCATTTGACCAATTTAAGATGACATGGCAACAAGATGCTATGTAAGCCCAAGACAAGAAAGTGGGGACTTCAGATCATATAGCAGTCTTTAAATTGTGTTGCTCGGCCACGTAAAACCAGAGTTATTATAAAAAATATATGCAATATTGTTATTTTCCTGAATACTGTTGTTTACTGCAGGAAGAAACCTTAGAAATGACATTTTCTAAGGAAAGCGCTTGCAAGCACTCTCTGCTTGTGACCAAAAAAAGAGAAGGAAAAAACACCCCTTTCCTATTGGTGGAAAAATGTAACATGTCGACCAATCAAAAAATTATATGCAACATGGCGTTTGGTTGTTTAGGAAGAGGGGGAAGTAGGGAGAGAGATTTCTGATGTTCAGTGTGTTTGGAGTGTGTAGTTAGTGTGTAGTGTAAGTTGTTTTGTTTTGTGTCAGATCGATGAGGCCGCTGCTCCAGACAGACTGCAGTGTAAATGCTGTCTCCAGGTAGAAAACAGGAGTGATACACCTCCTGCTGTCAGGCCTGCAGGTATCAGGCTGGGATGTGCTCCACTGTCTTATAGTGGACAGAAATTATTCTTATTGGAGTGGCACAAATAATTTCTCGTATCTTATTTGATGCAGAACACCTGATTGTTCTGTGTGTTTGTAATGTTGAAAAAAAGAAAACCACCACATTTTTAGGTAAATACCTGCATACAACTCTGTTGTTTGCATAACTTGTGCATAAGTTTAAAAATGTACATTTTAAGTTGTGAAAATGATCCAATAAACATGTTTGTGGTCGTTACAGTAAAATAACTTCTACGCTGATTTTGTTTTATAGTCTGATTTTTAGATCAATTGTGTTAATACAGTTTGTCAAAATGGGGGGAAAATAACTGGTTGTGCAGAAAAGGATGATACCAAACAAGGCGAAGTAAACAGTTTTTAAAGGTGAAATGTAGAGGTCAAATCAAAAGTACTCAGAAACAGCCAATTATACCCTGGACCCCAGAGGGTTCAACTTATTATTAAACTTATTTATTTTAAAGTAACACAATAGTTACTTTTCCTAGTAATTACTTTTATAGTATTGTAACTCAGTTTTTAACTCAGTTACGTGTATGAAGTAACTATAACTACCTTTTCAAAGTAACTTGCCCAACACTGCTTATTACATTATATTCTAAATCACTAAATATTCATATCCATGCAAGTCCATATGAAGCGGTGTCCAAACATAACTCAGTTGTATAAAATGCTTTGAGAGCTCAGAGTTGTGAGTCCTTCAAAGCTAAATCTAAATTTGTGGACCTCTACAGTAAATCTTAAGTCTAAATCCTGCATTATACATAACACAAGCTTTTTGAAATGAAAAAACGTAACAATGACAGAGCAGAGCAGAGGGAGTATCTAGGTCCCTATATCTTTATGTTCACTGTCAGTATGCATCTTGAATTTCAGAAATTCATCAGTATGAAGCATCAAAAATAATAATTTATGATACATTGCTCAACTATGGCGTCAGGAAGAACAACAGTTTTATGACCCTTATGAAAGACCTGATTGAATACCTTTGAATATTGTTTCTGAGCACCCCGAGAAGTTTCAACAAATTCGCTCGTATAATGTGATTCAGCTTATTTTTATGCTTTTATCATTCTTTGTTTCATCACTTGGAGTTTTAATATTTTTAATATGTCTGTGAAGGTTCTCAGTCATCCAGGTCATCGTAGCCAAAGGAGCTTGCAAAGAAAAGCGTCTGGACTTCTTTAAGTTGCTTGAAGACGTTTCACCTCTCATCCGAGAAGCTTCTTCAGTTCTAAGGTCAAATGGGAGTCAAGTGGGAGATAACCCCCCACAGAGGGACAAAAGGACCCCCTGATGATCCTCTTTTGTCCTTTTGTCCCTCTGTGGGGGGTTATCTCCCACTTGACTCCCATTTGACCTTAGAACTGAAGAAGCTTCTCGGATGAGAGGTGAAACGTCTTCAAGCAACTTAAAGAAGTCCAGATGCTTTTCTTTGCAAGCTCCTTTGAATATTTTTAATAAGAACATACAGCAGAAATATATTTTTAAGATGCTTCCTAGTAAGTGCTCTTTTTCTTTTTTTCAAATTATAAACTGAATCTCATGTTTTTAGCTTTAAGTTTTCTAATTGGTGTCAATAAATTTGTTTCATTTTCACTTTCATCTTTTAAGATCAGTGAATAGTACTAGAGCTTAACCTCCTAAGACCCAAACTCTTCCACGACATGCATTTTGAATTTCTCTTTGATATTTGGGCTGATTGGGGCCCGATGAATGTAAAAACAAAGAATTACTAGATTTTTATTTTTTTTTACCTTATTTTTGTTTCTAAGAAAAATCAGAGCCACATATGAGGATATTCGTTTAAAATTTTGATAGAACAGTAGCAGCATAATGTCCTCATAAGTGGATATCAGGCCCTCATAGAGCAAAATTGAGTATTTTACTCTAAATAACCCAAAATGTGATGTCCACATATGTGGACGCAGGTCCTAGGAGGTTAAAGGTCTGTAATGTCAAAAAGAATTAGACCACTATTGAAACAAGCATGATGAATATTTGTGATGTTAACACAACTATAGTGTATGCATTTATAGTATACACTGCTGTATGCCAGGAGTGAACAAGACGTCAACTCTCTGATCCATAACACTAGGATCTATAATGAAGACTGGAGAAGTGTAGAAGGTAACCATGCACACATTGAGGACAGCTACAAGTATCTGGCCAAAAGAGGAGATGGAAGCTAAAAGACAAAGAAGCTCCTCCAATCCAGCGCTCCAAGACTGCGTGCTAAGTGAAACAAAGGTGGCTGAGGACTAGTGCGTGTCAGAACCACTATCCAGAATGGAAAAAACAAAGATCCATAAGTTACATCAGGAAGATGTTCAGAACTAAATACCTCGGGTAGCAGAAACCCAAGAAAGAAGAGGAACCACCATGAGAGGACAGGTGGAAGACGTGGTTGATGTATGGAGAAGTCCTACCAGCGCTGGACAAAGCTGGACTGAAAGACGCCATAGAGGCACAAATCATGGCAGCACTGGAACAAGTTCTAATCACAAGTTTGATCTGCACTGGGGTCTACCACACCAGGCAAACCCCAGGTGCAGGATATGCAGACTATCACATAAGCACATAACAGCAGGCTGCAAAATGCTAGCAGGGCAGACATGGAACGCCATAACCAAGTGTCTATACAGAAACGTCTGTGCTGAGTACAACCTGGAAGTCCTGAGGTCAAAATGGGAGATGCAGCCAGGGTGGTGAAGGATGACCGAGCTAAGATCCTGTGAGACTTCCAGATACGGACGGACAAACTGGTGGTTGCTAACCAACAGGACACCGTAGTGGTGGACAAGCAAAAGGAAGACGGCATTAATAATAGATCGGCAAGTGATAACAACACAGTGTCTGTGTATGCGTTTAACAGAGTTGTGCAAAGAAAAGCGAACTTTGTAGCTGTTTGTTTTACATGGTGAAAATCTACAGAAGCTGCATTTAATGCAGACTTAATTTGTTCTGATGTTTAATTAAATTGGCTAGTTTGCTAAAGGCTGATGGCAGTCTCACCAGTTTCTGTGACAGTGAGGACTTGAGCAAGAAGGGAGGATACTAAACCATCTTTATCTCAAGGACTTCATAACATTATTTTTCAGATTTAAAGTAAAATGGAGTATTAAAGTGTGTAGCTGTTGTTGCTCCCCCCCTCACAGGCTAATAAAATGTCCATGGGCCATTAAAACTCTGAGCCATTCATCTTGGGCTGTTAGGTTGGACAATGAATTATCATCATTAATTAGTAACAACTACACCAGTGTCTTGTTTTCAGCAGCAAAACCTTTTGCATCCAAGCCAAACAGTTTTCATCGTTGCAGCCACCATATAGGCTTAAAACAGTACGTACTCATGCACAAGTGATTTAAACATGCACACACAAGTGCACAGTCTACCTTATCTACGAGATAACATACTTTATGTAATTAATAAGGAGTAGTATTGGGGCCACATTAACAAAATCATACATTGATCTTTTGGAGAATAAAGTAGAAATCTATAGATTAAAGCACTTGCATAGGTGAGTTAGCAAAATCATACTTTAGAATCAGTTCTGGTTACATTGACATTTCTCTTTTAGGACATAACCTTAGTGTGGTGACACACAAGGATGTTGAAGTCATGGTGCAGAAAGCTGCAGAAGAAGGTGCAGAAGATGAAAACGCACAAACCTGGAAGAGTTGGTCAACTTGGTGCAAATGAAATGGCAGGGAGTGGACCGATGGAAGGATTACACCCTCGATCAATATGCTTATACAATAAGACAGCTAATCAACTTGTTTCACTGAAATGCACGTAGCGTAGTGGCTGCAGGAGCCACGGCAGTCGTTTGGCTTTGAGAGAAAAGTCCAAATGTGGAGATTACAGTTCAAAATACTATTTCAAGTTTAATGTTGAAATTTTGACTTTAAACTAAAAATGAACACAAATTTCTTTTTTTAATGGTTTGGCCAGTGGATCAACCAAGAGCCTGATGGGGCTTCCAGTGGAAACCACTTGGAATTCTAAGTTTGCATGTCTATCTTACTGTTAACACTTGACAGTTCTTTTCATTTGAATCCTTTAAATGTGTTAATTCTGCTGTGTTCTGTCTCATATTATAATTAATCTCTAAGATTTGATCTGTTAGGTTTTTTTTTTTAAAAACTGTATTTTTGGTAGAAGGAAACATTCTTCCTGCTAAACTCACTACTTCACTGTTTTCTTGTGTCTCTAGCATTTAAGAAGCAGTTTGCAATGTGTGTGTCAGTCCAGTGGCAGCCAACAGAGAAGCCAAACCCTGACGAGTCACGCTGCCCTCAGAAACGTGCAAAGAGCCTGTTGCCGTCACACCTAGGGCCCCTGCACCACAGTTCTCCACAACCCTCAGGCCTGCCTTCATTCCTGACCCTCCCTGCATCCATACCCGCAGGTTTCTGCAGAGCAGTGGGAGGGCCCACTGCTCCTCAGCTCCCTCACCCTACATGCTCTTTCCCCGATTCCTCCACCCAAGGCCATCTTGTATTTGCAGTATCCCCAGTGATGCTTCTCAGTAAGCTGTGTGAGACAGCAGGTGTTGGTCAGCCGTTTTATGAAGTGCAGTACAGCCACGCTGGGCCTGATGGATTCCTCTACTTCTCCTATAAGGTGCAGATCCTCGGGATCACTGCCACTTTCAAGGGGTTGGTCATGATATTACCGGGTCCTAATGCCAGCACCATGCTAGAGGAGGCTCAGAAGGCTGTAGCCCAGCAGGTCCTGCAGAAGATGTACAACACTGGTCTCACACCCTGAACAGCTGATGCCGTCCTGCAGTTCTGTTTCACCTCGTTTGTGTTATGTGCTTTCTTTTTCTGCATGTTTTTACTAGAGTAGCACCAAGTTTGTTTCTCTGACTAGAACTTGTGGTTTGTTTTATGCATGATTTTTACTGTACATTAGTGTTCTGTGTTACTGGATTGGTTCTCATTTTAATTAAATGAGCTTTGAAAAGAAAGTGTCGGCATTTCTTTCAAATGAATGAAAGATTTAAATTAACTTAGGAAAATGGTAAAGCAGTTATTACTTGTCTCACTTCATGCTGTTATGAAGCCTAGTGACTCTCATCCAGACCTTAACGCATCTTTGAAGTTGTGGATTGAGACTAACCCCCTCACTGGTTCGGCATTTTATGTTAAACTGACAGACACGTTTACAGAGAACCTGTTTGGATAGATTCAGTCTAAACAGATCTGTTGGGATTGTGATTTATGGTTTGGGAAGTGACTTACTGTGATCTACAGGGTGGGCCATTTCTATGGATACAGCGTAATAACATGGGAATGGTTGGTGATATTAAAGTCCTGTTTGTGGCACATTAGTATATGTGAGGGGCAAACTCCTCAAGATGGGTGGTGACCATGGTGGCCATTTAGAAGTCGGCCATCTTGGATACAACTTTTGCTTTTCCAATAGGGAGAGGACCATGTGACACATCAAACTTATTGGTAATGTCACAAGAAAAACAATGGTGTGCTTGGTTTCAATCTAACGTAAGAGCCATTTCATTCTTACGTTATAAATAAATATATATATATATCTATATCTATAGATATATATAGATATATCTATAGATATAGATATATCTATAGATATAGATATATAAATTTCAAGACACTTCCTGTCTGATTTCTAGGCTGTGATATCAAAAACTAGTTCCTGATGGCAGTGATTCACTCAGTGAACATGTGTTTCCTTCACCAACCTCACACACAGATCCAAAAAGATCAGGAAGTGGGCAGTATAGTACAATATGTGTTATTTTGTACTGTACTGCCCAAACTAAAGATCTGCCGAAGTGTTGGAAATGATTCATATGTTTATTTTGGACAATACAGCAAAAGCTCAGACATGAAAGTGGAGATAACACAGAAGACCTTCAGCAAAGGGTCAGAGGTCAGACTGGGCCACTGGATTCAACAATGAGCCAATGATCATCTTGTCAAGTAGTGACTAAACCAGAGCCCTAACGTTATGACATTTATCACAAAGTTATAACAAATGTCTACTGATGACTTCATCTCATGAAATGACTGATAGATGTCAATTCATCAGCTGAGCTGCTGCTGCTGATCTTCATCGTGCACAGAAACATTCAGCTTGTTTAAATCAGTAAATAACTCAGACTACTGTGGCGATCATGGCTCAAGAGTTGGCTGTTTGCCTTGTAATCGGGAGGTTGCCGGTTTGAGCCCCAGCTCGTTGTGTCCTTGGGCAAGACACTTCACCTGCCGCCTACTGGTGTTGGCCAGAGAGGCCGATGGCGCGATATGGCAGCCTCGCTTCTGTCAGTCTGTCCCAGGGCAGCTGTGGCTACACCTGTAGCTGCCTCCACCAGTGTGTGAATGTGAGAGTGAATGAATAGTGGAATTGTAAAGCACTTTGAGAGCTTCGAAAAGTGCTATATAAATGCAATCTATTATTATTACTCTCATTTTGAACTTTTCCCACTCAAAATGCTGTTAGAACAATGATGATTGTAGAACTTCATAAACATCACGTGTTGTTTTCCACATGTAAGATACTAATCAGCAAACATACAGAAACTTCCTGTTGCCACACACGGCCTCTAAAATCTTTCCTACGGTTTCTGTCTGAAGTCCACTCTCTGTGTCTAAGCCACATGAAACACAAAACAACAATATCTTATTAACATGGTTTTCAATATCTCTCCTTACAAAAAGTAAGTAATTAAAATTTTATTTGTATAGCACCTTTCAAGACAAGAATCACAAAGTGCTTCACAGAAAAACTAAAACAGAAAAACAGAAATCAACCAAAAGCAAGTTTTTAAAAAATGTTTTGTGTCTTTGTCCAACCAATGAACAAATGTGTATATGTGTGGAGGCCTAACAAAAGCATGACACATTTCTCTGTTTCTATAAACTGGAGTCAAACACAAATATGAAGAGTTTCACTGACAGACTCCAAAATGCCCCCGCAGTGAATCAAAGGGAAATCCTACAGTGTGGCCAGAGACTCTTAATGGCTCTAACATCAACACATCCACAATGTTGTATCCAGTTATACCGAACAGAATGACTAAGACACACCCCTTGCCTGCATTACAACAGTGCCACCTGTTTCACCTGCCTCCTCAGCATCTGTACACCTGAAGAGAAAAGAAAGGCTCCAACAGCTCAAATGTACAAAGGATTCATGAAGTTTCATCCAACAATAACATGTTTGCCTTCCACAATGTGCTGTTAGACACCACTGTACCTCTGCCATTTAAAAAAGGGCAGCTAGTGAACATTTTGGCTCCAAACACTTTGTGTTTAAGTTCCTAATCTTTGTTTTCTTTGTGAAGCCGACAACATCTGGAGCTTTTTGACTCACAGAAACATCATTTTGTTCTTTAAATGACAGCAGATTGGGACTGAAGAATCAATCACTATCAAACCCATAAAGACAAAAATGCTGATTTTACAGGAACTTTGTTGGAGAAGCTGTAAAGACATGAAACTGGTGGAGATCCCAAACCAGTGGATAGTGCTGGTTATTCCAAATAAAGCTGTTTCCATTTGAGATGAAACGACTTTCTGTCCTGATATATAATAAAGATGTTAGTTGTTTTTGATCCCCTGTATTAAAAGTAGATCCAGTTTAAAGTCAGCTTGAGTTTGATGTCTTTATGTCAAAGCTGCTCATGATGTTGAGCTGCTGATGGAATAAAAACAGTGAAAAATCTGCCTCAATATAAAAGCATGTAGTCCAGACTTAAATGTAGCACGAGGTGGAGAGCAGCTGGCCTGGCTTTGATTCTGACCCAGGCCACGCCCCCTTTCTCTCTGCTTTGCTGTCACTTATCTTCACTGCTCTGTCCAATAAAGCTGAAAAAGGCCCCGAATCAAAGAAATCTGCTGCAGCCTCTGAAATGTCTTCTGCTTTCTTCCAGAGGTGGATGGCTTTTTCACCATCAAGCCATCAGGCAGTCCAGCAGCATTTATGATGATGTCATGATTTTGAAGAGACTGCTATGGTGGCCTCCCATGACCCCCAGCCTCATCACAGCTGAGATGCAGACATTTGAAACCATTCAGCACACAACTGAATAACAGTCCAACATAACAGTCTGTGCAGAGACACACACTGAACTTACCTTTCATATAGTAAACGTAGTCAATGAAACACAACTACTTTAGTAATTTCTTGTGTGAGTCTAAAGTGAATCTAGTATTTTAAAGTACACTTACTGTATTTGTTGTTGAAGACTTCTTCAGCTTCTTCTCAGCTGCTTGTTTGGACGCAGAGGCAGTTAAGAAGCTTCCTGAAAAACACTGAACAGTGAGTTCACTGTGGCATATGACAAATTCAGCTTTCTATGTGCAAATGTGTCTGTGTCTCCTTGGCTGCTCACTTCATGCACTTCTGTCTTTGTGACAGTCCAATGACATCACAGCTGTTTCCACCCCCAGTGTCTCAGGACTGGACACCTTTAAACATGTCGAGGATCAAACAGCGTCCAGCTAAACATACATGAAACTATCAAAGCTGACAATCATTCCAATAACATCTAATGGTTCATATATATAGACACAGGACTACAAGGAAATGGCTCTCAGCATCTGGCTGTGGTAACAAATGAGTCCCTGTTTGTGTTCAGATTGTGTGCATGTTTTAGACGTGTGTCACATGTAGAAACACAAAAATCCCACAATGACACAAAGATGTGTTTGACACAGCTGTGCAGCTGTAAGTTGTTTCAAATGATTCATTGAAGCTCTTCTAACATTCTGGAGACGATCAGTACATGAATCTGTTCAACACGGCAACAATTTGACTTCAATGTGAACGTTTGCCATTAAATAACCTTCTTCATCCAGCTGACGGCATCCTTCATCCTATGATATTAACAGCTCCTCCTGTTGATGACAAACCTCTGACAGGATCTGCTTGAGGAGCTTTTTCATGTGAAGCTCTCTGAGCTCAGGGCTAGGTTGCTGTTTCATCTTTAAGAGCTGCTGCCTCCTCGCCGGACTTGTTCTTCTCTTCTTCTCCTAATGACACCATTTCTGCTTCATATCTTTCACTGGGCCTACAAACAGATGAAGAGTAGATCTACTGCTGTTCACTGTTTGTGTCAATATGGAGAAATATGAAAAGACAAACACAGCACATACAGAGAAATGTAGACAGGATGTGCAGCCAGTGCAGTAAATGGTCTAAATATCAGCTCTTTAGAAAATGATCCTGATGAACATGAACTAACATCCAATGAGAAACACAGCTTCCTTGTTTCATGTCCAATAACAATAAATGAAGAGCTAATAAAGAGCTGTTCTTTGTAAAATGCTGAGATGATTATTAGACAGAACCCAGCGGCTCACCAAAAGCCTGCATTGAAAATCTATATGAAAGTCATCTATGCTCATATATGGCAAAATCCTTTGACTGTCACTGTGTTTTTCATCTGTGCTCTTGTTGGTTGGACAAGTTTCTAAATGACAAAGAGCTCAGTGGACTTTGCATCCATCAAATCCTGTTAGATGTTTGTTTTTCCTTCACAGCTTTGTGATGAAGGCTAAAGAACAGAGATATGAACTATTGCCAACATGAATCCTGATGCATGACGTGGGCATAGACCCACCAAAGCAACACTCAGCTCACCTCATTCCAGGCGCTTGTCTGCTGGAGACCATGAGCCTTGTTAGTCACACATCAGCACCGTGGTAGGAAACAGCCTCCATCACTTCATTAGATCTGAATTTGGACTGTTTCCCTCTGGATGAACCAAGTCTGTCAAATCTCTTTATCCAACACAAACTATCAAACACATTGGCTCACAGTCAGATTGGCTTTGTATGGATGGTGTAACAGGGGGCTGGGAAAGGATGCTGAAAGGTGAATATAATACAGAACAATAACAGGACATATAATAATGTAGCAACATGATCTTCAACAGCATGAGTGTGTTTGCCCAAAGACTGAAACAGCATCAACATGACAGCTGTAAGA